TCACTCAGTATTCTTGGTAGTCTGTAGGTTAGTCAGCTAAAACACCAGTGTAGCATTATTCTGGAACAGGTGTAAGGTAGTTTGGAACACATCTTTGCACTATGTCTATCTGATGTGGAAGCGGACCATGTTTTCTCTGGGGAAGGAATTTTATCAACTATGGGTGAAAGATGAAATGATAAAATCTCCCAAATCAATCATGATAATCTGTATCTTTTCCATTGCCTATCTTTATCTTACCCCCTCCTGTAAGCAAATATTTGTGAGAATGCAGAGAACAGGAGAGAGTCTCAAAGACTCTTTTCTTTCTTTCAGATTTTGAGCAATTAAACATCCATCTTTAGTTCAGTTATTTCCTAGTGATTTGATTCAGTTACATAGTGTAGCTTGAATGAGGATTTCTAGTTAGTGTGGGATATTGAAATGTATTGTTACATACAATGCTCGATTGTGTTCTATTGTCTTTTCTTTTGAATATTGGTCACACTATTATGTTTCTAAGGTATTCTGTGAATACTTGAGACCTTTCCCCTGCTTCAATTAACTGAGGATGTGTCATCAGAATTTTGATTTATTGTTTTTTTTTATTTGCCTTCTTCCAATACAATGAGTGTAATTGGAGTAAATTTTCATTGTGCATATTTAACTAGCTGTTCTGCACAAATCATTCCAAACATGATAGAAAAAGAAATGAGGGTGTGGAGGTAAAGAAGATTGGCTACCTTTGCTTTAGGTATATCCAGGAGTGTAAAAACTTGCACTTTTTCCTGGATACTTGAATCCTGTTTTTCATCTCTCATGGGGCCGCGCTCTTGTTGATAAAAGAATGAGAAACTTAGAACATATAATAATTTGGGGGAGCTGAACTGAAGACAAACAGAGGAAATACATTAACATTTTTAAAGAGGAAGGGAGTTTGAGAACTTGTTCTTTTTTATTTTTTAAAATTTTTTTTCTTTGGTGCCCCTGTGCTTGGCACTAATTACTCCCACACCTTGACTCCTGTGTTCAGTTTTGGGCCCCTCACTACAAGAAGGACATGGAGGTTCTGGAGCGTGTCCTAAGAAGGGCAACGAAACTGTGAAGGGACTGGAGCACGGACCTATGAGAGGAGGCTGAGGCAACTGGGGCTATTTAGTCTGCAGTAAAGGAGGCTAAGGAAAGACCTATTGCTCTCTACAACTACCTGAAAGGAGGCTGTAGTGAGTCAGGGGTTGGTCTCTTCTCCAGAATAACCACCGACAGGACAAGAGGAAATGGCCTCAAGTTGTGCCAGGGGAGGTTCAGGTTAGATATTAGGAAAAAATTCTACATGGAAAGAGTGAAGCATTGGAACAGACTGCCCAGGGAAGTGGTGGAGTCACCGTCTCTGGCAGTGTTCAAGAAACATGTAGATGAGGCACTTAGGGACATGGTTTAACAGGCAGGGTGCTGAGGGGCTTGCAGTTGGACTCGATCTTGAAGGTCTTTTCCAACCATTATGATTCTAAGAGTTCTGTCATTTTTGCAGATGCTACCATTGCAGGTGTAAGTTTGAGAGCAAACACTACTTGCAAGGGTGAGGCCCAGATTACTGTGAATGAATTGCTGGATTGAAATATGTTTAAGATAAAAGTGAAAAAATGTTTAGATCTAGCATCTGAAGAAGTTATCCCTTCCCTTTAGGGAAGGTTGCAAGGTGTAATTGTATGGATAATTATTTTCAGAAACAATTTAGGACAACTGAAATCCTAGGAGGAAGATGTTCATCACAGTAAGAAAGCCCTGTCTTAAAATATGAATACAATGCAGTCACTGTTTTAAGTATTGAGTAAATGCCTAGGTAGCTATCTTGAGTTATTGAGTCCTGAGCTCTGTGCTACTTGATTTGTTCAATTTGGGGACATATCCTAGTACATGGAAATTTCAGACCTGCAAGTGTGGAATTTTGGGTGTGTTTATCAAGTGTGGTTGTTCCTGCATGACTTGAGACAACAACAAATGTTTCAGCATAAGTACTTCCCTGTGCTCCTCAGTGAGACTGTCACCCTTCTCTTTTATTTTTAAATTTGTCTTCTTATTCCCTTTCTTCTGTGGTTAATAAACTACTAATAATTGCTGTGGACCCACAGCTTTGTCCTTCAGAATAATTTCATACTCATTGCAATTGGCGAAAGTTACTCTCACATTGTTTTGCCTCCTTTTTGACCAAAAATGTATTAAGGGTGGCGGAGAGTGTTCTGTTAAACCACAGAATGTCAGTTTTAATTAAGAGAGGTGACCATCTCCAGCAGTGAAAAACAAGCTGCTGCACTCTGAAGGACCTGGACAGATTACAAGGTTCTGTTTTGCCTAGGTCACCTAGGTCACCTTTTTCTATAAATAGATGTCTTAACCCAACCATCCATCTCAGATGTCTTCTTTCATGCAATTGTTTAAAATGTGGAAGCTTTCAGATCTGGTGTTCTGATTAAAACCATTTTGATTTACAGTGTCCATTTTCTCTTTCAGGTGTGGTACAACCAAAAAGGTTTCCATTCACTGCCATCCTACTTAAATGAACTAAATAACTTTATTCTATGGCTGAATTTGCCTCCTACAGTGGACTGGAGACAGTATGGTAATAGTCCTTCTTAAGTGTTTGTTAATATCTTTTGAAAATCAGGGTTTTTTTTTAATAATCTTCAATATGAAAGCATCAAAATACAATGATTTGCACTATGAAAGTATCATGCCTTGGTATAAAGGCAGGTTACAGAGTAAAATTTGAATTTACGGTTCACTTTCTATGCCCTATGAATTGCAGAGGACATTCCTAAAAAATAAATAAATTAGTGTGCTTCAGTTGGGGTATTGCTAGGTAGAACCTAGGGCTGCTGGTAAATGCACGGTAGTTTATGAATTTAGGGCTCATTCATTACCTATCTGTGTCTCCTGTAAAGTCACATGGCAATGTGACATGTGTCTAATGACATTCCATTTCCCAAAAAAAAGGAAAGGCTGGTACATCATACTATGCTATATACCAAAGGAGAGATGGATATATTTGATGTTCAAAATCTCTGATTTGGAGATCCCTGAACCTGTTAGGATTCTTAAAATCCTCATTTAATGAGCTGACACTTTTTGCTAGTGATTTCAGCCAAAGCATGGGCTCTTAACACAGGTGAATTTTTAGGATGTTGAACTCTTAACATCAGAGCTTGACAGTTGAGGTTGATTTCGTTTCATGCCGGTTCCTTTCATTCTTGAAGTTATATTAAAGGGGAATTAGTTTGGTATGGAGACATTTGAAACAACTTAAGGCCAGTTTTGAACATTTTTTCTTTTTAAAAGATCATGTATGGTCTGATGCTTGAAGGGTGAAATGATATTCAGAGATTCCTTTCTCTTTTCCTGAGATAATGTGTTGTAGAACAAAGAACCTAGAGTTTGTTGTTTCTCTCCTTCTTTCTGTCTGGTTTTCTCTGGGGGGAGGGATGTTTGTTGTTGATGATTGTCATTTTGATTTATGCATTGGGTTTTTGTCAGCAAAACAAAAAAGGTAATATTGCATTTTCAGTTTGAAGACTTTTAAAACTTTTTACTCATCCTTCCTAAACATAGCAGAAAATGTGGAGAGCTATCACAGTTTCCCAATTTTTATATTAGTCTGATATTTTATCACTTCTGTATATTTATAAAAAAGAAGGGAGAGGGGATGAAATAGAAACTTACGAAGTTTTTAGAATGTCAAGTGAAAGCAGAATAATGCTGTTCACTTTCAAAATGGTTAGGATTTTATTTATTTCTTAATGAGTGATGAGCACAAATCAAGGATAATGTATTACTATAAAAAATTCAGATTTCAATGAAATCAGAATATTTTAAAGTTTTTTTTTTTAAACAAAAATCAACTTTTAATGAAGTTTCCCTGTTCTCAATGAAAAGCATTGATGCTGGTTTTTCTGTAGCACTAGATATCCCATTCAGGAACTTAAGCATTTAAGTACCTTTTGTGTATGTCATGGAGATGTAGGGATTTACTGTTCAGATTAAGTTTGGAGAAAATCATAGGTTTCACAAGGATTATGGAAGTGTTGTATTTTCTTTTTCTTTCTTTTTTTTTTTAATGCATGAAGAAACAGAATAACCAAAACTATGCTTGGTAAATACTTGAGATATCCGACTGCCAAGTCCATATTTATAGAAATATGGACTGTTTATGTACTCTACTGGCTGAGTACCTTGGGCAAAAACAGAGCTCATGTAATAGAGAGCATTTTAGTTATGTGCATCATCATTGGACATGTGCCATAAGCAAGGATTGACCAGGCTCTTAAGACCTAATGGAGAAGGACCTGATAGGGAAATCTTACAAAGAAAAGGAAACCAAGCTGTATGTATCAAAAAGGGGCATTTTTCAGTGATATAAGGAATTCATCTTCATTCATTTCGACTTTTAACTTTTCTTATTTAAGCATGTTGCTTTTGTAACCTACTTACGTGCTTTTCTTATTAGCAGGTTCTGTGCAGTCCTGTGTAGTAGTGGTCGTACACAACTGTATTTCAAGATTGAAATCTATTAGTTTTGATTTTTTATTTTAATCTTGCAAATGTTAACTCTATATGCAGGTCTATGCGTTGTATTGAAGACAGCTGCTGGGAAGCCTGTTAGGAGGCTGTAGAAGTGCAGTTCAGTAATTCTTGCTCATACTACAGCCATGTTTGTCCTAGGATAACTTTTTCCTATCAGTGGAACCGGTCCTTCTGAATTAAATTATTTTTGTGTCACTTAAAAGTAACTGTGTGAGGACAGTCTTTTCTTCCTTAATAAAAATAGATCCTGCTTTACTGCACATCTTATCTAATGTCCTTTCTTCAGTTAGAAGGTTACAGCGAAGAAAAACTTTGGAGAGTTAGGAGTTTGTTGTAAGAGTTTGTAGGAAGAAATGCCTGAGGATAGGAAGAGATATGTTACCTTATGTTGAGTTATATCCTGAGATTTGTATATGATCAAACAAACAAGTGGAAAAAATGATTTTTTCATCTCCTGCTGTGTCACTTCAAGTTATTAGAGCCTGACTCTCGATCTTACTGAGCGTGCCATGTGCCTCTGGGCAGCTAATGACTATTTAGTGACTGGTAGAGACTTTCCTTTTATCAAGGTCACTAGCAACACTAGTAGCAATGGAAATCCTTTTTTTTGCTCATGGTGAGAATATTTTTTTTCCTGAATGATAGCTGCCTGCTGGAACTGTAAGCAAGCTCATCTTTGAGGATGTTTGGAAAGTCAAATTTTTTTCCCATGTATTTTTAATAAAAAGAAGGAGTTAGTGTGAGGTGTTTTTTTAAGAAAAAATGTGTGTGATAGCCAGAGATGCTTCTAACTAGACGGACAGAAATTGGCCAGATTAAATTCCAAAAATTTATCATAATTAAATTAATGGATCAGGTATCTTTTTTGGTACAGCAGGCATAGTTGTTATCTGAATAGGGTGAGGACTCATCTTCAGTACTATGTGGATAAGCACCTCTAGCATCATATAAATCGGTTTCCTAGCTGGTTTAATAAGGCAGTACTATTGACTGAGACTTACCACAGGTTACAAATTCAGTGATGGAGAATGGAAATTAATGTGCTAAACAGTAAGGGTCTCTGAGAGGTAAAAGAAAATTCAGCAAGATGAGGTATGCTGGGTTTCTGGCAAAGCTCTTCAGTTCTGGTTGGTTTATAAGCCTATCTTAAGTATCTTTCTGAAATATGCATTTCCAGAATTAGATAAAGTAATTGTGAACAAAAGAGATAGGAAAGTAAGACAAATAAACTAAAAAGTAACATTTTGACTAGAGCTTGAGATAGAAATGCTGATCAAGTAAAACTGTGACACTTTTCATGTTTACTTGTACACAGTAGCATCAATATGTTAAACATGCTGTAATATATGGGCTATATACAAGCTATATAAGGCTATATGAAGGAAAAAAGTAGTGAAAGTTATCTGAAATGATTTCTGTAATATTCAGGTGTAAAAAGAGTTCTCATAACATTGTTCTAAGAAGAGAAATGTACTAGTTTAAATAGACTTTGTGTGAAGTGGTCACCCCATCTGAGTACTTCTATTGAAATAATAGCTATTAAAAAAAAATACCTTTCATTCTAAGGGCTCATTTAAGGGCTCATAGAACATGGTCATTTATTTCAGACCCAGTTCTTCAAAAGAGCCTAAGGGATCAAGAGACCCAGTTTCAACTGAAGTTTTGTTGGTGGCTTTATAGTCTCCTGATCTCTGTGCAAATTGCAATTTTAAATGTCCTTTTCAAAGGAGCCTGGAACATGCTGTTTAGTGGGTGCCTTCTCATCCCTGCCTAGTTAGTGGGAGAAAGATAAAATATAAATCACTAATGAGGTGCACATTAACATGGCAAATATGATGGCGACAAGATTCTAGTCAACAGCACTGCTCAGTGCTGCTGAGAAATGCTCTATAAAATAGAAATGGTAATTTTAGTAAATAGCACTGTATTATTATGCACAAACAGAAATACCTCCTCCTTCCCTTTCCCTTCCCCTTCCCCTTCCCCAAGACTATTTTATAGTCTATAACAGCCTACCTCTGTTCTTGTTATATATACAGTCTTTTCTATTTTATTCTAATCTGGAACAAAATATTTGTATGCTTTTATTCATAAGGAAACCTAGGCAGGTCTTTCATTCAAGTCGTTAGCAATTATGCTACTTATGATGAGTCATATAGATCCAAATAATACAGATTGAACTACTCTAGACTCAACAGAAAGAACAGGTACTTTGAAGGTGTGACAAGATACAGGCTCAGTCAGATAGACATAAAACATCCCATGGAAGGTATTTAAGTACAGCTCTTCTTAGCATGTAGAAAATGAGATGCAAGCATGAAGACCCCCAAGGTTCTTCACCTCTATCTCCCACTACTATCTGTAGAACAAGTACCACCTGCTTCATATAAAAAAAAACTGCAAAGCCACAGATTTCGCAACATATCATTACATGACAGGGTGTTAGATGCAATCATTCATCAAGTTATTTTGTACTAGGAAGCTGTTAATGAAAAAAATAGTAGAGGTTATCAATTTAAGTTTTTGTTTGTTTTGTTTTAAAATAAAATTCATTTAGTATATAAATATATCTCTTCAGTCAAAATGATGTAATTCTCCAAACTTTCCACAGTAGAAAGTGTACGATGGCAAATATGATGGCAACAAGATTCTAGTCAACAGCACTGCTCAGTGCTTGCTTCTGTCATCAATGTACTGTGTCTGGAAATGTCTTCTCTTCGATTATAACTATAAATAATATATTCTATTTGACAAGTGAGGAGAAGAGACTACCAAAGCTTTATATTTCCCCATCTTTCCTCCTTAATGTGGCTTTCAGGCCTGGGAAAAATGAGTATGCCCTTTTGTTCCTCAGCAGTGTCTTGCACTGGGCGATACGAAGAATGCCAACTTTTCTTTAAAAATAAATAAATATATAAATAAATAAAAAAAAGGGAAAAAGTTTGTGGCAAACTGGGTAAGGGAAAAAAACAGCACAGAAGAAAGGAAAGGAATTTTCTGAAAATAAACTAAACAGCAAAAAGAACGTTGGAACTTTTCACCTCTGCCTAACACCTTTTACCTATGATACCAAGACTGACCTAAATTGTTAGTATAAGAAAGAAAATAATGTTCACCAAGTGTCTATTAAGGATATACCAGAAGGTTGTTACGGGGCAATTGGAAAAAGTCAGGAAAACATAATGATGATGGTAATGTAGATATGAAACGATTCACTTTTATATAAAAGAAATATGTGAAAAGGAGCAGACAGGATTAGAGCTGGATCACATTTGTTAATAGTACGTGTCATGTTCTCCCCTTTGAATGCTGATTTGGTAGAACTTGCCCTGAAGGCTGTTTGCACAAGTCTTGCAACTAGAATCCTTAAAAATCCCTTGCATAAACACCACATTTAACAAGGGCTTTGGGCTTTGTTGTTTACAACCTCTTGGTTAATCTGTCATTTGTGTTCTTTGTTTTGAGTTATGATTTACACTTTATTTTTGCTTTTAAATCCTTAAAGGTGTTGTTCGGATATCCAGCAGCTTTACATAATAAAAAGGTACATAATGGCAGGAAAGGAGCCAGCAAGTGATTTTAGCTCAGATTACCAGCTGCATCAGGGCAGATACGTAAATACAGTCTAGGTGGTTAGAAGGGGAAATTGAGGAAGAGACAGATTATACAACTGTCCTGTAGGATCTTTTTATTAAAAAACATCTGCTAGCAAATAGATTATACCAATTGTGTTAATTTACTTTGCTACAGGATGATATTTTACAATTTTCTCCTTAAGTTTAAGGGAACTTTTATTCCTGAGAATTATGAGCCAGTGTGTTGGCTTCATGTAAATTCACCACCGATGTTTGGATAATGGTGGAGAAAAAAAAAGGAATCATTTTGCTGAAAAAATGTAGAAAATGCAGAAACCCCTCACATTCCAGGAAAAAAATGAAAAAAATAAAATACTGAATGGCAAGCTGGGTATATTTAATGCTTTGACAGGATTTGGAACTGAATTAGCTTAACAAGAATATTGTTTTAGTAAATTACATGTAACAATCCTGCAAAGTTTCATTGCCATTCTATTTGTGAATTTTCAAGAATTAATTTTTTTTTTACTTACATCATTTGAATGACCGTTAACTAGAAAATGATTCTACTCCTGCAGTTGAATCTACTCCTGCAGTTAAAAATGTAGAAAAGCAAGTACTGATTATATTTGTTCATTAGCCTTTGGTGCATCCAGACTCTAGAAATCACTCAACAGAAGATGGTATTTACTTAGGCAGCTTGATAGCTAAGCTCTTTCAGCTGCTTATTAAGGATTTAGCCTTTTCATTCATCTTATTTAATGAGGTTTCAGCAAGAGAAGGGGTCGCTTAGGTGTTGGGTGGGTGATCTCTGTAGCTAATGACCAGAGTAAGATGACAGATGAGGCCAATGTTCCAGAAGTGGATTCAGATCAGGGCTATTAAAAACTTTGGTCGGGGTTCTCCCTGAAGGCTATGCCTGGGAAATGTAAAAGAAAATAACACTTCAGTCTGTAAACCTGAGAGTGGAAGAAAAAAAATCCCTATTATTATTTAATTATAATGTTGTATTTTCTTATTTTGTATTACATTATTTATGTGACATATAACAGCATGTTGTTATGTCTCTGTTCATTTGTCAGAACCAGTCCAGTTTCTTTCTTTCTTGAGGGCAAATGCTTAAGGCTTAATGTTATGATTTTGCATAAGCAAGAGTCTTTTGTTTAGAGCAATAGTAAAGCCAAAGCATAAAAAACTAAATTTCATAATTTTATGAGACAACTTAGTCTCATAGTCATGTATGAAAAGTAATATTTTTCTAGTAATTGTGATTTTAGTGGTGCTTAGCAAGAAGCTAAAGATGTTTTGTTTTATTTTCTTTTGCCATGAAAATGATAAAACACTGATCTTAAGCAAAATTGTGACTCTTCTAAATGGGAATATATCTCATAATGGTTCTGGTTTTTCTTTGTTTATAAATTACCTGATGAAAAGAACAAAACAGATCTATCTAATTTGAAATAGCATGTCATAAATATTCAGGTGGTTGTTGATAGCAAAATAATATTAAGATTAATAGGGAAGAGCAACTAAGTTCTGTCGCCTGTAAATCTAGCAATGTCTTTGGTTTACAGGCAAAATCTTCAGTTTGACTCATAAGCTCTATATTGTGCTTTCACCTAATAACACCTATAGAGTGGCAGTTAATTCCACCTCTCTCTAAAGGAAGAATAAGAAAAGTATATCTAAAAAACATTGTACCTTCATGTTCTTTTAATTTGGAAAGGAAAGAGAGGCAACATGGAGCCAAATCCTGGTGCTGCTAACAGATGATGCAACTTGAAGGTCCAGAGTCTGTTCAGTTGCCCATCCCGACCAAAAAAGGGGTTCTTGTAAAGGCAGTAGGAAGTTTTCTTGCACAGTGTTGAAGGAGTTCCAGTGCACAGTTTGCAAGGTTGAAGCTTCATTTCCTGGTAACAGTGCCCACAAAAGCGAGATGGCTACAGTTCTCTTGCTTTGCTTCTCTTTCTTGAAACTTTTATTTTTCTCCTAATTTCTTTTTTATTCTTCCACCTTCTTTTTTTATTTCTTCTTCTTCTCCCTCTTTGGTTTTCATAATTTCTGCTCCAGCAATGCTTGTTTTACCTGATTTTTTTTCCAGAATGCTTTTGTGTTCCTGGAAATCCAGAAAGAAAGGAACTATCATGTGAATTTCAAAGACCGTGTTCTCTAGAACTTAAAAGCATTGATCTAATATTTATAATTTAATAATTTATTTTTCTGCTCATAGGGATCACACTTTATAGCCAGCCCTATGGGGGAGCCCTCCTGGATGAGGACAAAATGTGAGCAACCTCTTAAAATATACAAAAAGCTACAGTGAGCAGACAGTCCAAACTGTGCAGGCAATAATTCAGATATGTTGCATGCAATAGATGTAGTAACTTGAGAGGTACTTGAGAGTACAAGAGTAACTTGAGAGGTACAGTTGAGTTACAGTGAAATATTTTCTCCAGTCTGTTGTTTATATATCAGATCTGCTGTTTGTGTCAGATCTGCTCGTATGATTTTGTGGAGAAGAATAATGAACTTATTCTGTCCTTGAAAAAGTGTTTGTGAGCAGGTCATTCTCAAATGCACTAACTGCTGGAAATGATTGCCATATTTCTAAAATTTTAACTTGCTGCAAAGCGGAAAATACTGGCAAACGCGCCACTTTAATATTCTCACTTTGAAACACAGACTGTGTTCTCTAATTAATGTATCGTCTTGTAAATTAAGATATCACCTTGTTCCACGTCTCCAATGAGATCCTGAGAGTGTGCAAGCATGGTGTTTGCATGCAAGATTGGGGTCCAAATGTCTATTCTCTTCCTCAGGCAAGACCTGTATTGCACAAACAGATAATAATTACATATTTTGCATATATTATTGTAATAGTTTTTCTTTTTTTCCTTTTTTCACCACTTGACTTTTGCCCCTAGAATGGAGAACGTTCGTCAGTGTGGCGTAGCACTGTGTATCATGTTGGGTTTCTCTATCCTTACTGCATCCGTTGGAAGCGCAATAGTGAAAGACAGAGTGTCTGGCGCAAAGCGCCTGCAGCACATCACTGGCCTTGGATACAAAACCTACTGGCTTGCAAACTTCTTCTGTGATATGGTACGTACCATGCATGGCAGCATGTGTCTGTGATCTCCTGACTGGTTTGATGTAACTTAGCCAAAGGGGTATGGTCATAGTGATTACTGAAGTAGGATTTTTGATTTGCTTTTCTTCAAACCCAAGAAATTGTTCTCCATTCAGACCTATAAGCAAAGGTGGAGAAATAGGATAGACTTTCTGGCTGGTTCCCAGTTACAGATTTTTTCATCAGCAATATAAATGGATCCAAAGGACTCCTATCTCAGATGAATTCTAATCTCTTTTGCAAAGGTGATTTTTTTTAAAGCGAATCTATGGAATTTCTCTAATATATATGAAAAGTGCATGTATATGTCCCTTCTGGGGGACAGAAAAAAGTCTGAAAGATTTTTGCATAATTCATTTGTGATAAGACTTGCTATATCAGTGTGTTTGCAGGAAAATTGAGTTAGGCTATCTACTTCTGGGAAAGGTATAAAGTTGCTATTAGTGGAGAACTTGGGCTTTCCGTGATGGAAACTTAAGAACTGTTTTTAGTAGTAGGAACTCTCCAAGAAAATGGGGCTTCAGCTCGAGAGGTTGCTGTCAGAGGCAGGAGTGAACAGGTGGAATCAACTGATTATTCCAAAGATTTCTGGCTGCAGGAGAGGGACATAAATCTTGTGCGCTTTGTTTGCACACTAAATGGGGCTGTAGCATAGGCAATGCAAAGGGCTAGATGAACTTCCTTGCCAGGGACAGAGTTTTTCACAGCATTCCCTTCTCATTCAGACTATTCTAAATCTGAAACACTAGAGCATCAGCCATCCATGCTTTAAAATCCGGACTTCTACACTTGAGGAAGCCTGAAGTAAGAGAACATTTATCCAGAAGTTATTTACTTAGGCAGTCAATCTTTGTATTCCCTTTGCTGCCGTTGTGGCAAGCTTCGGTAAGAACTTGATCCTTCATCATTCAGCTTCTCCTTGTGCAGCAAAGCCAGCTCCTTGTTATTTTTTGTTAATCTCTTCCTTTGAAAATGTTCTCACAAATTCAGTATCGTACTGAATGATCAGTCATGATCTGAGAAAGAACAGACTCTGCTTTAAATGCTAATTGTACTGCGGAGCACTTAGGGACTCTTGAACACAGGAATATAGAAACTGTTAAATTTGAAATCCCTCCACACATTAAGTGTTACAGGTTGTGTCTGCTGTTATTTATAATGTAATCTTTACTGGACTGAAAATGTATTAGATTTATGAAACTACTGTCCTGGGAATCTGCCTGTTCTTGGTGTATTTATGCATGTAACTGGTGTTCATTACTATGTTCCTCAAAAGAAAAATGCATAAATTTCATGACAGATAGAGTTACTTTCTATAGATTAATCTTGTGTCACTGCAAGGGTAAAATTAAGATTTTTATGTTGGCATTTCTACTTTGTGCATTCTAAACTTTTATAACTTACTGCTCTTTTGGGTAACATCTTTAACAGAATTTAATTCTAAAACTTATTTATTTTTAGAGAAAAAAGTCCAAGGTCTGTTAAAACATATCAGGACTTAGCATATGTTTTTCAAAACCTTCAGAAAAACTGAAATCTATATCTGTGCAATAAGGTGGCTAATGAACAGGATCAGAATATTACATTTGTGTTTGTTTTGCTCCATTGTACTTTTCTTAAATCTTTAAAAACAAACATGCTGACAAAGAAACAATGCCCTCTGGGTTAAGTCTGAGGTTTACATTGTACTTCACTATGAAAATGAGTAATTTTACCAATTAGGATATTGGTTTTTATACTCTGAATATTTAGACAGACCTTGATTAATAGTCATTTCTTACTTTTATTGCAGTTGCATCCCAGTCTTGCTATGTTAGAAGAAGGTTAGATGTTGTATCATACACAGAAAGGGAAGCAGTCACTGCCCTACAGAACTCAGTTTTAATGCACAGAGCAGGTAGAGTGAAGGGAGTAGAGAGCAGATCTTACCCATCCTTCACCTCCTGTTAGATGAGAGCAGAATCCAGCTCTCTTGAGTGCCTGGGTGTGAATCCTCTCTACCAGTTTCATCCTCTGCTAAGTACTTTGCTAACATTGTATCAAGAGACTGTTATCAAATGTTTATTAAATGTTGCCTAGTAGCTATATCTCTAAATTCTTTGTCTGTTTCTGTTAGAAGTTGTTGTTTGCTTCATCTGCATGCACTGTCTTTCATTGAAGTCTCTTTTGAAACTGTATCCTTGATAGTCTCCTATGACTGAAGAATCACCTATGACTATGAATCAGTGAAACTGCTGCTCCTGGCTCCTAACCAGTGTATTCACAGTGTAGTTGGGGCTTTGATTGATAGTCACATCTGAATCCTTTATCTGGGAGAATTAGCTTGTTAAACAGACGTATCGAAAAGGTCGGTAGAAATAAAAGTGAGAAAAATATGTTGTTTTTAAACAAAACAACAAAATATGTTGTTGCTAGGGTCAGTTACACATGTACATTTGTGTGTGTAAGGGGGGCAGTTTCACTGCCACTGTGAACTTGGAAGTATCAGTGTTCTTCTGCTCAACGTATAGGGTAATTATACTGCAAATCTGGAAATGTTAAATGGTGAAGCCCTTCTATGCTGAGTAAGACCAATAAGCAATGTTAACCTGCAAGTCCCTTTTTCCTTGTGTTCCTAGCTGTTCTACATGGTTCCAGTTGCCCTGTGTGTTGCTGTCATTACTGCCTTCCAGCTATCAGCCTTTACTTTCCGAGAGAACTTGGCAGCCACTGTTCTCCTGCTGACACTCTTTGGGTATGTGATTGGGAATGTTACTATGGCATTACATCTTGTAAGAAACAAGCAAAAAATCTTTAGGCTTGGTTTGCACCTGCTGCTGGATGCATGATTTTCTGTTGCTGGAAATGGTTATGATTCTGCAAAAGATGGTGAGAAAACAAGTTGAAACATGAGGTTGAAAGCTCCACAGCAACAGGGAGCCTTATACATAAAACACTGGAAGTGTCTCAAGGAAACACTCAGCCTGTATAACAATCATTTACTGTTAGAAATTGATTGTATGTTATCTTCTGGAAAGGTAGTAAAATAATAGCAGTCAGGCCATGATTTCAGTGGATAGCTGTGGAGAATGTCATCAAGAACTGAAGAGGACTGTCTTTTATTGCCATCTACCTCTTACCTACCATCTTACCTCTTTCTGTAATTCTGTAATTTAAAAGAGCTTCGGGAACTTGTATTTCAGAATGCTGGCCAGCCTGGAGCTCTGGACTGGTTGAAGAATCATCTTAGCTGATAGTGTGAGACTGGAAAAGTTCTTCCATCTCACCCTCTCACAAGTTTTATGTGACAAAAAGTTACTATGAAAAAAAAAAAAGGAACTTGTTAAACAGAGGGCTAGTTTGTCTATATAATGAGTGTACTCTGGGCTCAGTCTAACTAATGATCTTACTGTGTGCAGTCCAGGTGATGTGTGAAATGCTGAAGATGAATAATTAACGGATAAGCATTTTGAAGACGAATTGTCTTCCTTATCTCAAGCAACTAATGGTTTCTGTCTTTGTAGGTGGGATTGCATATCCTCAGAGGCAGATGCTTGGATAATGAAATACAACTGTGAAAAAAGGAAAGAGAATAGAAAGGGTCAGGGCATGGCCCATCCAAGGAATAATCTCAGATGAATGATTTAAAAAATGTTACATCTTGAAACTATTGTGTCAAGATTTCATGCCTCCAGTGACTCTTTTTGGAGGACTGTTTCAGAATCTCAGAATCTGGGTGCATTCTGCTGACTTCTGGCCTACGTTTGTTTGGAGCCATGCCTGATGTGTCATTAAGCATCTTTTGCTAGGTCAAGCAACATGTCTCAAGGACACTCCATATCATAAACTTCAGAGTTGCCACTCTTCCTCTTTCACCCACTGATCATCCTAACTAAATACGAAATGTGATGAAGCATGTTATGGCCATTTCATCTTTCTCTATCACTGTGCATTGTATATTTAATTCTCACTTAACTGCATTCCATAATGCATTTCTTGTATTTTGAAATTGCATTTTTCTCTTTGAAGTACACTTGTGCAACTTTTGTCATCTAGAATAAAGGCAGAAATAGTCCAATTATATCAAAAAAGTCAAACCACACACCAGAAAAGTGTATGCTTGAAGGAATACTCAACAAGTTCCTAGTGTACTACTTCAAAGCAGATTTACTAGTGCTTTAAAAGATTTAGTCTCATAATTAGACTGCATTTATTTTCCTCTTAGTAGTAGCAATGCTGTTTTTAAGCACTTTTGTACAATATGCTCTAACTCTACTGCTCACAAAATAACGAATTATAGCTAAAGTTGAAGCTGACTTTTGCAGTCAGGAAGTAAGGGTTAGGAAATGAAGATAGGCTTGACTGGCAGTCAAGTTATAAAGTTATATGATGTGCTTCAACATCCTACAACAATATATTTGAAAAAATCTTACTCTCTCCTTAGCAGCTATAAGTGAACAACTTAAATTTTCCTTTCGTTTATGTTGGTGTAACATCACTTTAAATCATGTCTCTCTCGTCAGCTCTATTTCTAAAGTGGGCTTATCCTGTATTTACACTGTTGTAATTCAGAGCAAAACTTAGAGCTGTGATTTCCGTATGTGCAAGAGGGGAAGAATGTATGTGTGATTCAAACTGTCACTAGGATGCTAAAAAATATCTTGAACACTCTTAACAATCTTCCTTTGAGACCCTAGTCAAGTCACTCAGTCTTTATGTTGTTGTAAACTCTGGGTAACATCAATATTACTTCACAGCAGGATTGGAAAATTTGCTTCCTAAGGTTTCAGTGTTCTCAGATGACTAAAGTTTGTCTATAAAACACAAAACACTGAGCTGAAAAGGGACTTTTATGGCTCATAGGCCATAGGCTAAACTACTCTCTAATGCACTGAAGTCACAGATTTTTGATTAGTTGCTCTGCCATTGATAATTATTTTAGTAACAATGTATACACATATTAAGAGTATAAAAAAATACTACTCATATTTTTGGCCATGCATTAGTGTGTGCTGACTCCTGTGGTCCTTGAAGTCTATATGCTATTGGTTTTTCTGCTAGGGATGTCCCGCACTAATGGAAAGCTAGTTTCCTTCACGTGGCACTTCAAACTCATCTCATTTGTCTGGGATATATTTTAGCCTAGACACTGTCTCACTGTTATTAATAGAAAATATGACTTCTACATTTTGGATGGGCAGCAACTGACATGACTGAGCTCAGGATTCCTTCCCCATTACTTTAAATATTTGCACAGAAGATAGTGTAACTAGGAACCTCTTGTCCTGCTACTGTTGTGCTGTGTGGCAACTCTGGACTCATTTTTTATGGCAAACACTCTACTAACTGACCATCTGCTGTGATAGTTTATAATGCTTACATAAATTTAAGATGACTTCACTGACATAATTGAATTCTCAGTTCAGTGCTTAGAACTGCCAGTTCGCTGGCGGTGTTTATACCAGCTCAATGATTTATGGTCGCAACAAATGGTTGCTCAGCATCTATGGTTTAGTTTTCGAATATTTGGTTGTAACTTCAACTGTATCTCTGTGCAATAGGATTGCTACAAGTTGCATGGTTTAGTGATTATTTAGAAATTAGGGTTGTGAGCTTTCTGGAAGAGTGAAAGCAAAAATATGCAGTTGATAAAAATGGAACGTGTCTGCTAATCATAACATAGCTCCTAAGTATGCATCTACAGAGTAATAAGGTAAGCTGGTCAGGAAAATATATTGCAAACTTGCCAGTCCTTCTCAGTGGTGGAAATGCTCTCATACCTTAGAAACAGGGAGTAATCTTTGTTCTTTCTCTTATTATATTATGTTGTATTATATTATACTTCTTCCTTTTTTTTTTGGTTGTTTTTTTTTCTCTTTTGAAGGCTGAAACATATTTTTTGTAAAAAGGCTTTATTTTGTTTTGTGTTTTTAACTTGTTTCAGATATGCAACTCTACCATGGATGTATCTTGTATCCAGATTTTTCTCAAGTTCAGATATAGCTTTTATTTCTTACATCTCCTTAAACTTTGTGTTTGGCCTTTGCACGATGCTGGTGACTCTCTTACCTCGTTTGTTGGCTATAATTTCTAAAGTGCAGGTCAGTATAAACTTTAGCTTTATGTTTAGTTGTGAGAGGTATATATGCGCACATATGTGTATATGTACATACATATATGCATATATACATCTGCACATATATATATGTACATAACACTTTTTCCAACCAAAGAACACGTGTATTAAACATGTTTGATTTTTCTGTGTCTGTGTATACTGTACTTCTTGCTACCATGTTTAAGTCTGCAATTCTAAGTTGTTTATAGAAAAAGAAGAAAAAAGGTGAATTCTAATAATGGAAAAGCAGCTTTAATTGAAACCTTGACATTTTTCCAGACCATTAAGTTGTAATTTGTACATAATGGGAGCTGTTCTGGTGCATTGAATAGATTATATGTATTGTGAAATGTGTTTGAAAAATATTGACATAAGAGATAAGCTGCTTATTCTTAGGATCTGTAGTGTGCTATATTGAATAGTAAATATGCATTCTCACTCCATGTAAGAAATTACCATTATTCATAATGGTAATTAAGCAAGCCGATGGAGAAGGAGAGATCCAGACCATGTATGTTTGTATATCTATGCATATTCCACATGAAAAAAATATTGACGTTTCAAGCCAAATCTGGGAAATATGTCACTCAACTTTGGAAGCAGATTTGATGCTGAGTAGGGTTAAGAATGTGATTTTAAGTGGATAGCATTTAAATATTAAAATTTTAACACCAGAGAGTTAAATACTTAGCCACACTCATTCTGTGTTGCTTCTGTACTGCAGACCACATTACGTGGTAGGGTGCACCGTAATTCTTGTCAGATACCAATTTACTGGTTAGCAGAGGGATAGTGTAGTTCCTCAGCATTGCCTAGTGTGTTGGCAGTGCTCCTGGTTCTGTGACAGGGAACAGACACAAGGCTAAACACAAGTGTTGTGGTTACATCTACCCTACTTCCAGGTTCTAAATATAAAGCTGCTTACATGGTTTTGTTTTGTTTTTCTTTTCCCCCTCTGGCACCATCTTCTATTTAGTAACTATGCTGAAAACCCATGCTAGCTTTATAAGTGTGCTTAATAAACTGTTGGAGAAAACTAATTTTTTCTCTCCTTTTTCTTTTCTTTTTTTTTCTTTTTCTTTTTTTTTTCTTTTTTGTTCACTGAATCTTAATACAGAGTTTTCAGAGTGTCTACAAGATCCTTAAATGGGCATTTATTATATTCCCACAATTCTGCTTAGGGCAAGGTTTGATAGAACTTTCCTACAATCAGATCAAGTTTGACCTGACCAGCAGGTTTGGAATAGACTCGTACGTGAGCCCGTTTGAGATGAACTTTCTCGGGTGGATTTTTGTGGAAATGGCCCTACAAGGAACGTTTCTTCTTCTTTTACGGATTTTTCTTCATTGGGATCTCCTCCAAAAAGCAAGGTATAGAGTGTATTATCATTTGTGTTCTTTGAGAATGGGCACTTCACAATTTCTTGAAGAAAGAAAATCATGGAATCATTTGTTCCTCTGATGAAGTTATGTTACATGTTCTATTTCTGTACTATTCTTGGTCATGAATCCATAGAATGAATACCTCAAAAGACAGGCTGGTAGTACGAAAGGGAATTTATTCGATTAACTTTTAAACTATGCAATTTGGCTTTAGTTTAGGTTCAGTGGTTTCATCTAAAAGGAAACGTTTCTAGTGTAATTATGTTTTAGATATTACATTTTAGTTATTTTCTCTATTTTTTTTATTTCTGTTCCCCAAAAATGGGGTATCCTGGAATGCTTTCCTTTTCACCTTGTTTTTTTTTTCTTCTCCCCGCCCCGCCCCCCGGTGTAGTCTGGCTGGTAACTTATCAAACTTCTTCCACAGTGTCTGCCTCATTTTTTGGCACCATTTTTTTCCAGAGGGACCTCAGGTGTTTTCCTCATCAAATTTCTGCAAGGTATAGCTGTAACAAGGTTAAGCAGATGCCTCCAAACATCTGATAAGCTTCCAGCCATGTGAAGGTAGTGTGCATGTATGCTTGGTCATCTGAACAGAAACAGCACAAATATCCCTTGATATGACAGGCATGTTTAGGACCAAAAAAAAAAAAAGGACCGTGTAGAAGGAGAAAGGTTAGGCTCTAGGACCCATCAGAGAAGTTAGGCTATCTACTTTTTTTATGGGATCACAGGCAGCACCATGGTACAGTGGGCCCACTGCAGATTCTGGTAGGTCTGTTTTATGTATGGATTTATACAGCACGGATCAGCAGGGAACTGTTCAGCTTGTCCGATGTTGCTCGAGAGCAGAAGGGAAGGTACGCGGGTTCCAGGTCTACACTTTGTTCGAGCTGTGTCCTTTTCTGAGTTACACTCTTCGTTTAGACGGGATGACACTGCCTAAACCTTAGCACTGGTACCACTTGAGATCTGCTGGCCCCACTCTCACCTCAGAAGGGCTGAGGTCTCCTGCATGTCTCATGCTGTTTTGCTGGCCCCTGGAGGGTGCTTCAGATGGCCTACTCGAATGGGCACTGCTTGCCCACATTTAGGCAACTGAATCAAATCCCGTGTGCCTTCTACTGTGGGTCTGTTTTTTCCAGGAAGTTGTTGCAAATTGTATGGAGATTGAGCTTTGTGCTTCCAGCTTTTCTAGCAGCTTTTCTTCCAGCTATTGCTTTTCTTTCAGCTTGTCATGGCATCAGGGCTTTAGTTAGACTTTCATGTTGAAAATGGACCAGAGTCCTGCTTCTACTTTGATACCTATTTTACTTATATCACAAAAGAAGGTAGTCTTTTTGTAGTCATCTTCTTTCTTAAGAAGGCTTTACTATTTGCTTATTTCAGTTCACTCAAGTGTTATGTTTGCTTCCAAGTTATTTCATCCAGATGGTTCTATGCCCCCATGCTTCCATTTTGAAAGAACCTCCACATTTCATTATTTCATTTCTGACTTAAATTCTTTTTTGATGTGGAGTTTCATGTTGGCCCAATGTCACCATTCATGTTTGCTTTGAAGAGTGTAGTTGCATTTTAGAAAGGGGAGAAAAGAAATATGAATATGGCATGTAAATTAGTGAAAAATTCAGGAAAAAAAATGCTTGCGGTTACAGTTTGTCTTGGTTTCTGCTGAGATTTGATCACTGAACTTTAAGGGATCACAATCAGGGAAATAAAGCAGAGTACAGCAGTGTCCAATTTGCCATGTGACGTTTGTTGTCATCTTCAGTTGTAGAGGTCAGTGTTCAGTTAGCAGCATGGTCAACATTTCAGAAGATACTGATGTAGAAATGGAGCGGCAGCGACTCTTTGGTGGAAGAACGGCTAATGACATCCTACTGCTGTACAACCTCAGGAAGTGCTACGGAGGGTTCAATAAGAAGAATGCAGCTGTCGAAAACATCAGCCTGGGAATACCAAAGGGAGAGGTAAAGAGGTCTTTTGTCTTTTTTTCTTTTCAAAAGGAGGTTTGATTTTGAACGATTGTTAAAGCACATTCAGCATGTCGGCAATCAAAGCTCTGAAGATAGCAGCTGAACACTTTCAATTGTGGTAATTTCTGAAAATCAATAGCAATATAGAAGTAAAGCTGTGATGATATTTGAGAAGCAGCTGTTCAGTGGCTGATAGATTTTTTTGACTGATTTGGTGTATGAGCCTTAATTTTTTTCTTGTTATTTCTCTTTACGAAGTTAGAGTTTTATGAGCTAACATTAAAAAAAAAAAAAAAAAAAAGGTAGTGTGGTGACTTCAGTGCCCAAAGAGAAAGTCAAGAGCATCTAGCTCAGTCACAAGCTGTGCACAGAATCCTTAATTTATCCTCAAGGCCCTACTGAAATCATCATCATTACTGAAATCTATCAGTAAGAAAGTTCATAAAGCAAGCATTAAGACTTGTATTTATTTTCTGTGGAAAAGGAAGTGTACATTTTATATATATATATATGTATATGCAGTGTCTTAAAGGTATCAGACAAGAAATAAGAAAGGGAAGGAAACACTGGAGATCAATATTGCTTATATTTCAGAGCAGCAGATGGATAGCAGTTTTTCACTCTTGTTCCCCTTTTATTCCTGGTTAGTGCTTTGGTCTTCTGGGAACAAACGGAGCTGGGAAAAGCACCACGTTTAAGATGCTGACTGGAGATATCATCCCATCTGCTGGGCGTGCTGTTATCAGGACTCCTACAGGGTAAATAACACAGGGTTTGATCAGAATAGTGCTAACAGATAATGCCAATGATTGAACACTCAGGATGCCTCGAGTCCTATACTCTTAAGGACTTTTTTTGTTGCCTTTAAAATGTATATGATGTTATTACTTGGGGCGGGGGGGTGGAGAAGAGGGAAGAGACAAGGTTGCTGATTAGGTTAAGCAATTTAGCACTGTTTAATCCTGTGTGGCAGCTTAGTTGAGAACAAGCCTATTAGGTAGAAAAAGACCAGTCTTAATAGGCATTCTTATTTAATCTGAAAAAAATATTTTATTAATCTTCCCAGGAAAATTGAAGGGGAAGTAGAGTTATTTTTGAGTCAAACCAAAGTGAGTGTGCACACGGGAGTGCACCGCCACATGTGTGCACATCTGTCAATTCCCCAGATGCCTCTCAAAAATTGTTAGGCATTTGTAAGGACTCACTAAAGTGATTACCTTTGGAAATGTGATCCGTAAGAGAATTAGATGTGAGCTATACAGTGGTTATACAGACACTTAGATACTTGCTTTCATTTATGCCTGAAGGTCATTTGCTCCAAAATCCTGCTAGTGTTTTATGGGCATGTATGTCAGAATGCACATGCCTTTCTGGATTTTGTATAGTTTCATCTGTACAACACGGCACTAGTCTTTGTTGGAAATCTGCACGCTGTCTAAAATGGAATGTGGAAATCCCACAGAGCAAATGATTTGATCTGATCTGGCAGTTCCAATATTTTAATATCTACTTGAAAGCAAGTCTGCTTACAGAGTTTTAAAAATGAGTCCTAGGAATTACATTATGCTTGCTAAGTACATGAATTATGTTATCAGCGCTCCTAAACATAACTATTCAAAAAAAAAGTGCTCTATTCCTTTACTTAGAGATATTGGTAGTATACTTGTGGCTAAACACTTTTTTTTTTTTCTCAGATCAAGTTTAATTTGCTATTGGCATTCCACAACAGGTTTGAGTACGCAGTAATATCTATTTCTGGCTACATAACGACATAATATTTGTAGCATTTGTAGTGGGTAGGTGCTACCCGCTCTCCTTGCACATTTTGTGTGCTACTTTTATTTCCCCCATCTGTAATGTATTTTATAAATAAAACATGAAAGCACAGTTTGAGGTGCATATACTAACGCATGGGTAAAGAAATGTGACACAGCTAGAAGAATAGATGGACACCTTTGAGTGTCCGAAATACTCTTGACAACATTAAATATCACTCTATATTATGGTGTCAATCCAGGTTACGGGTTTAAAGTTTCCTGAGAGGCTGAAGATGTAAGCATATAACTGAATATTAAATTCATACTTCTGTGTTCTCAAGACTTATTGCTAATCTGTTTGAACACTGTAAAGGCTGCATTCTCAAATAGGAGCTACTGTTGAGCAGTAACTAAGCTTGGGAAAATGAGCAACCTTAAAGCAGGGAGAAGGCTTCTGTGTCTTCTTAGACTTTGTTGATTTTTTTGTGTGTGTCTTGGCCACTGCTGCTAAGTAATAAGCTTCAGAACAGAGCAATAAAACTAACTTTAAGATTTATAGTGCTCCAGGAGCACAGCTCATCAATACAGGCAAAATTCTTCGACTCCTCGGTGGGATTATACCCATAAATATACCATGAGTCTGGAGATCCCTTCTTCTGCAGTTGAACTGCTGTTAAAGAAACCCATCCAAGGTAGAATAACATTTTTGAATGTAATTGATTTATAACCTCAAGGCAAAAAAAAAAGTGATGGCTATCATCTGTGATCCACTTCAGTGAAGACATTTTGTAAAATAGTGAGAAGATATGAAGATGCTTGAGGTAGGGAAGATTGGACATCATAGACATTTTGTTCTATTCTAGGTATTACTATTTTCTTTTTCACCAGTGGTCAGATTTTTACTGCTTACTGCTTTTTACTGCTTGGGATATTAAGATCCCAAACAATGCAATGGAAAAATATATATTAAAAAAATTGTCTTGGACATCTTTTAGTTTCAGATGTCTCTAAATGGCACTTGTTAGTTACCACTTTAATGAACAATTGTTAAAATGAAATGACTATGACTGAGTCTTAAGTCTTTGCTACCACATGTAATTCAGTATTTAGAAGTAAAAACAACATGAAAGTTCATGAAGTCATGGAAATGTTTCCGTTCCTCTAGTTTGCTGGACAGTGCTATAAGGCTTCTGAGGAATATATAAGCATATATGTTCAAGTATATGTTCACTATATAACTTGTTAAAGGAGAAAGTTATATGTATCTTTCATAAATCATTCTTTTCTGAATTTAAAATTCTGTTTGCTACTGGTAAATGAATATGTATGTCTTTATAATGCATGAAGGAACATGGCTCTTTCATACTTGCATATCAGGTGCCTGCGGGGTTTTAGGTCGATTGATATGTACCTAGACCCTCATGGGAGACATGAATGGAGGAAGGGGGCTAGAATGGCAAGAAGTCTTCTGCTTTTCTCGTTCTAGCAGCATGCACAAAGGCCAGGTATTCCTAGTGCACAAAAAAAGAGGAGAAAGCCCATGAAACTGTTGCTGCTCACAGCTGCAGAGAGCTTGATGGTCTGCAGATCTAGATTTCTTTCATTTAAAGCCTATGTCATGACACAGTCCCTGTAGAGGGACCTCTTATAGCAATTCCTGTTTAATTTGGGAAGCAGCTTAGATCATAGAATCATAGAATCATTAAGGTTGGAAGGGACCTCTAGAGGTCATCTAGTACAACACCCCTGCACACACAGGGTTGCCAAGAGCTTGTGACACCCGGCTGCGTCCAAGCGGGTTTTGAAGATCTCCAGAGAAGGAGATTCCACAACCTCTCTGGGCAGCCTGTCCCAGTGCTCCGTCACCCTCACTCTTAGGAAATTTTTCTTTACATTCCTGTGGAGCTTTTGATGCTTCAGTTTCCGGCTGTTTCCTCTAGTTCTATCAGTGGCCACCACTGAAAAGAGACCAGCACCATCCTCCTCACTGCCTCCCTTCAGGTACTTACAGACACTGATTAGATCCCCTCTCAGCCTTCTCTTCTTCAGGCTGAACAGACCCAGCTCCCTCAGCCTCTCCTCATAGGGCCCCTGATCGTACTTGTAGCCCTGCGCTGGATTCTCTCCAGCAGCCCCACATCCCTCTTGCACTGTGGAGCCCAGAACTGGACACAATACTCCAGATGCGG